TGTAAATCCCTGTACACTGTACATTCACGCAACCAACAGATTGACATCTCCCCGTGGTTGTTGCACACCCGAAGAATTATCGTCTGGTGGTAATCATCAAACAGGACGTGCCTTCTCAAGCCCTTCTGGCAAACTGACTGGATGCTTACCAGGTTGTTTCATTATTGCGAAGAAGGAAACGTGATCTCATGTGTGGCATACTGTAGACTTCTATTTGTACATGTATGCATGCGCCAACACCGGCATTGTATAATCCGTTTGCTGGAGATGCCGCGTTCAGGCGGGCAGCTCATCCGCTCCAGCCATGTACACGGCTAGGTTTTTCCTGTTGCTTTATCTACGCGTCGCCATTGACTTCATCCATACATATATCCATGTGGCGTGTGCCAGACACAACAAACAAGGGGTTATTTTGTTTCAAGAGCGACCGACGGCAACGATCGATGGGGAAACGGCGGCGCGATCGGCGACGGCGGCGCAAGGCCGCCCGGTCGCTCGATCGAACTAGAACCGCCCGACCGACCGCCCGACCGACCGCCCGACCGACCGATCGATTGACCGACCCAAAACCCAACCCAACCCAACCTGCAACTCAACCCAACTCGCTCAACCCCAACCCCTATCCCCAACCCAACCCAACCCGACAGGTCGGGCGAAGACTACCCCTACATCAGAGCAAAAGGGGGCACGTACTAAGTCATCCCGCACACCTACTACGTACCCCCGCCCCCGGGCGGGCCGAAAAAACATTTTCGACTTTTTGAGTCTCATGGTGCGTAGAGCCCACTTCACGCAAGCTGCATACGGGGGACACATCATGTTGTACTAATGACGACGTTATACGCATACTTGCTCTCTTGATGTCCTACGTACCAGTATTGTGTGATCATGGGTTCGGGATTCGCAAGACAGGATCCTAGCTCGCGCACAGGGTGCCCCAAAGAAAAATGGGTTCCCCAACGTGGGCCCCCTTTGCTTTATAGACCTATAGGAACGAGAATACAGGACCCCCTCCCAAAAAACTTCCCAAATACGAAAATGGGTAAGTATGTAGGTGCCGGAAAAAATGTTTTTCGTGCCCCCTTGACCAGAGTTCAATAAAAAAACAACCCCCACAACTCGCCTGAACCCTACCGCAACATGCATAGCGATTCATAACACCAACACGACCCAACAATTTTCTCCTAACTGCTACCGGGGTATTTGGCCTGAACCTGTTTATACCTTTTTTACCGCATGCCTATAGGGTTTCGTCTTTCGAAACGTACCTACATGTAGAGTATGCAAAGAGAGAACCCACACTCCAACCCGAAAAAACACTCCGCCACACACAATGGCTGGCATTGAACACTGCACCGAGACGACAAACATGTAGGTAGAGGTGACGCGTAGAGCCAACCGAGCAACCACAAAGTACGTACGAGGTCAGAGGTGGTCAGAGGTGCCATGCATAGATCGGAGGAGAGATCTCTGCATGCCGCCGACGAGGGTCACCGGCACCGCAAGAGAGGATAAGGGGCGGTCCACGTTGAGACCCTGGTCCCGCCGCGAGTCATCTTGCTGTCGTTACAAGCAGGAGACCCAGTAGCCTCTCCCGTTCAGACAAACCGACGACCGGTCCGGTGTGATCCGTCGGCGTTCCGCCGCATCGCTTAGGACAGGGTGCCCACCGTTGAGGCTTACCCGTGTGGCTGGGTGGGCGTACATGGCATCCCACCTGTGTTTTTGGCCCTGTCGCGTGTTTTCTCTCACCACGCCATGACTGAGAGTCACCGCGAAGGAACTCGCGGCGACGCAAGCAGACAGGAGCTTGCTTGCCCAGAATTTGACCGTCGTACACCGATTCGCCACCCTCGGACTCCGCTCGCCCCTCCGGTCGTCCCCCATGGCTCGGTCCCGCGTTGTGCCTGGCCCAGGGGGGGGCTCCCATCGCACAGTCTACAAATCCGCGAAGAGCATCACCACGGGGTGCAGTGACCGGGACCTCCGCCTGTATCGAGCAGTGGAGCCGTACACGAAGGTTCTCAATACGCACAATTAGAAAAGAATTGAACCAAACTGCCTGTCGTCGCAGGCATCGGGGAAGGAAGCACAGCAACCCCCGCCCCGACCAAGCATAGGAAACGCCGGCACGAGAGAGATTGGAGTGCTAAGGCAACGTGCGTTTTTCGAACACACGGCTACCAACAATGTTCACCGCAAACAAACACACGCAGACCAAGTCTAGCAAAGTCAACTCCGCCAATCTGACGTGCACTGAAGGCATAGTCCTGTCGTTAAGGAATTGGGCCTGCTGGCTGTTGTCGATGTCATCACGACAGGGAGGAGGGGGTGGGGACGGTAGCCATGAACCAGATGCACCAACCTCGGCAACCCCGTTCCAAGCCTCGACAGCAGGTCTGACACCCATCGCGGTTCTATTCTCCGGTCGGCCAAAGCGGAGTTCTAGCCTCATCGGCACCGCGTCTATTTCCCGCGGAAGCGGCCAGGCACCTGTCCTCTCCGGAATCACCTCGCCCATTTGCCCCGCCTGCGTCGACGTCGTTTGCATCTGGGGCTTGTCTTTCTCCCACTTAGTCGGCGGCGACACAACGCAGATGTGTCGTTCGGACGGCGAAATGAGTTTGACATCAACATGGCGTCGCAAGAATTTCCGGAACCAAGTCGGTCATCGGCAGTAAGAGCAAGAAGCATACAGCAGTATCAACATGGCGTCGCAAGAATTTCCGGAACCAAGTCGGTCATCGGCAGCAAGAGCAAGAAGCATACAGCAGTACACCCAGAAACAATGGTCGTCTTGGGTGAGTGAGTGTATTTGTTGACAGCTTTTCGCCGTCTCCGGGCGGGGTTGACAGATATTGACTATTCATAATGCGTGTGTACTTGTTCGTTCGCGAATACCTCCTTCAGAGGTCTCCCCCGTAATCCCCGTATTCTGCGCTAGTCTGACAAGGTGAGACGGGTTTCCCTGGCCGCGAGCTTGCCCAGAATGAGCCACATGCGTTCGCTTGACATGAAAGGGGTGAGGTCTCGCCCTACCGCCGTGTGTGAAATGATTTTCTGAACCCCAACCCCGCTGGTGTGCGTACCATGTGTGTCCGACAAACAAAAGTGTGTGTCACGAAAGAAAAAGACTTCCACACGATCACCGTCGACAAGATTTACGAGTAGTGGCGCGACAAGATCGGGGTCGACTCCGAGCACTTAGACCACATTAGACAACCCACAGAGTGGGCAGAGGTTGCAAAGGAATTACGTGGGCAACGACAAGCGTAGAGGGGTTCAAGGAGGAAATATCAGAACACCTTAATCTAGAAAATACCTCGGGGAGAGGACGGTCTAGAAATCTACCACGCGAGCCATCTCTCTCCCTCACGGGCGCATCCTGACTCGTGGGCGAAATTGTTCCGGGTCCGGGTAAACTTTTGAGGAAATAAAGGCAGCCGAATCCTCCATGCCAGACGGGGAAGGCAGCAGATTTTCTCCCCAACCCGTGGTTTGGTGTCCTCATACCGTCGCCTCTGGCTTGCGGTCGCCGGTGGGGGCAACCCACCGAGATTCGGCCAAGACAAGGCTCGTGGAAGACGAAACATCCCTGGGAATGGGCGAGGAATACTCCAATTTCCCCGGCGTCCATCGTTTTCGCCCAGTCGGCAAGGTCCGTGCTGGTTTCAGCGCACCTCGCAAAGAGAACCGGGTCGCTTCGCCTAGGTTAAGGGAGGCGTTGCTCGCGCTCCTCGCGCCACCCCCCCCCCCGTGAAAGCGACCGCGCTCCCCCGGTAGTGAGCCGATTGCCGCCCAACACCGCCCAGGCGCGCGAGTGGAGGATACGGCAATCGCTCAACGTCCGCTTGCAGAGCTGCAAGCGCAGCGGAACCCGTTCACACACGGCCAGTAATTTCCTCCCAACGTTTCGAACGGTCCCACGCCCGTAAACGGCGTGCGGACGGCTGACGAGTCGAAGAAAACGACGTACATACATTCAATCCTATAACACGGTATGGCACATCGCTCACCCCAAAAACGGGCACGCCACGGCAGCGAACGGGATGATACATCATTTCGAACAAGAGACGTTTGTACGAAAACTTGATAAGAAACAACAAAGGGGCTGTCATGATTTCTGTTTGCCATGTCGACTCAACGAAATTCAATACATCTTATACTCTCTCCACAGTGCCACCTCTGATGAGTCACAACCGCTCTGTGACGTTACACATCCACACACAAACACGCTTTCGTCGCACCAAAAAAAGGCTTGCCATAGTAGATGTCTCTAACCCCGGAGCTGGAGCAGCGACCCGAAACCCCGCTCGTCTCCCCCTCCTTCCGTCGGCATACGAAACAATAACGGGGGGGGGTGAAATACGACCGACCGACCTTTGGTTGGTCCGTCTTGAAGGGGTAGATCCTGTCTGCCAGCGATCATAACCATGCACCCCCCTGCGCGCGCCGTCACGTACCCTGAAAAGAACACGTAATATCTTTGCCCGTAAAAAAAACGAGCAAATTCAGTCATGAACACGACTACTGTAAGTGAACAACAGCTACACGACAACGGAATGGTCGGGTTTCTTCGACACTCGGAATAAAAAGAGAATGGGGCGAGCCTCGAGCGTCTCTGGGCGTTACTTCGTTCATCAGGCTAGGGGCTTTAACGTGTGCTGGTTCCCTTGCGGGTCGCGTCGCCACGGGTTCCGCGGCACAAGGTCGCTCCTGGAGCCGACCAAAATATACAACAATTCCTGCCAACATACGAGCCGGAGAGTAAAATACGAAAGCAACCATCGGCAACAACGAAGACGTCGACGACGACGACGCCAACAACGGCAGCAATATCGCCAACAAAACAACAACAGCAAAGACGACAGCAACATCAACAACCCGGTAAAAAACATAACAGCTCGCTCCTTCCCTCCATTGTGTTCCCCACGCCCCTAAAACTGTCTCCCACGAACCCCTGGCGTTTTGCAGGGCTTTAAAACCAATCTTGTCTCCTTCCCACACCTCAATCACCTCTGGCCAAACGAGAATGCGTCCGTCCTCTCGGGCGCCCTCGATAAACAACAAAAAAATGGGGGGGGGCTCCGTGCAATCGATGTTGGTGCCCCATCGCTCCAATCCACTCCAGACTGCCCGGCTCTCGAACCTCCCCTCCGCGCCCAGATCAACACGGGCGCTCTGCTTAATTCGCACCTGTCTCATTTTCCTCTAAACAACACATACCTATTATAATAGTGAAACCGAAAAGTGTATCTACAAGCAGTCGCGGACTGGGGTCGTTCTACGGCGTCTGCGCTCGAAGAGCAAGCGCACGCTACCAAAGGTGGTCAAGCGTACGCTCAGGCAAAATGAAAAAAAAAACATCATGTTGCCGCCGAAGCAGAAACAGACGGGAAAAACATCGCCATGTTGCCGCTGCCGCTATCGTCCTCGTCGTTGCCATTTCCCTCCTCCACATTACAAAACAACAAACACAAACGGTTTCGCTCCTCGGTGAGCCGGGTCTTCCTCTTGAATCACTAACTCATTCACTCCTACAACATTCGGCTGTGCCGGGACACAGGCGTCCGAAATCCGTCCTCATCTTCGTTCACGGGAGTGCCGAAACCGCCCAGAGGGTCGGGTCCGTCCCCCCCGTCCGTGGTGTACCCGCCGCCCCGTGACGGCGTCGAAATGGCCGCACGGCCGAGACCATCGCCGCGCGCGCCGCCGACGTCGCTGTAGGTGGGCGTCATGAAACCGTCTCGGAGTTCGTTGTTAAACGCCTGCTCCTCCTCCTCCTCCTCCTCCCCCTCCTCCTCCTCCTCCTCCACCACGCCCATCTCGAGGACGGCCAAGAGCGAGGTTGACTTAGAACCCGTCGCAGCATCGTCGCCAGAACGACGGGGGGGCTTTTCTCCTGCAAGGTTTCCGCCGCCGACGCCAACGCGGGAAGACCGAGCCGTACTAGCACCACCACCGCCGTCGCCATCCGCCGCAGTATCACGCACCACGGCGGCACCGTATTCCGCCGCCGCCGCCTCCGCCGCCGCTGCCGTCGACGAAGGCGCGGTCGAACGCAGCCTCCTCACCAGGGGAAGGCTCCTGAGCGCGCTCAGGAGGCGCGACGGGTGCAGGGGGGACACCGGGGACAGCGGGGACGCCGGGCTGGGCGACGCGGAAGGCAGCATCCCCCCGGCCCGGAGGAGGCGAATCTCCCGGTGCTCCACCTCGCTGGCGTCCGCGATTCGTCGGAACCCCTCCGTCGTCACGAACTCCCTCTGGAAGTTGGTCTGCCGCGCGAGCGCCGGGTCATGGTGTGACAAAAAATAATCGAGATTGCTGGCTTTCTAGGACGACATCGTCGTTGGGAAATCTCTATGGTGCATGGTACCTCACGGGGGCGGAGGGGGCTGGAGAGTCAAAACACGCACGTGATTATCCACTGAGACACGAGGTTCATGTCCTCTGCAGGAATGCAGCCGAGGTCATCCTGGCGGGGGGGGGTCAGAACAAACAATCTACCACCCTGGGAAAGGATTGCTTGGGGAACATTGCTTCGGGAGAAGAAACGTGCAAACGTGGAACACTACAATAAACACAAGAATGCGAGTCGCGGTGGGATGCGTCGCCAGTGTGTACGCTGCCCCTCCCACGCTGCTTGCTTAGACACCGACGTTTACACGAGACTTTGTGGATAGACCTTTGAGGGGGGGGGGGGGGGATCGTGGATATGTTGTGAAAACCGAAACCTTAGGGCTCAACATCGATGTTTTCCAGGACACCCTTAGAATCGTGCAGCAAGCTCTTGCTCTGAGAATCAGGAGAAGCGGGTAAATCTGGGTCTGCCGTACTTATCAGTAGCAACCGCAACAACAACTATCGACGGCGGCGGCGGCGACGACTGCGACATCGACAACAACAACAACGACGACAACGACGATGACGATGACGACGACGACGACGACAACAGCAGCAGCAGCAGCCATCTACAACATCAACAACGACTCCCGATATTACCAAACACTGATACGACCCCACTGGCGCATGACAAAAAATACTCTTCAATAGTACACATTGTCGAGAAAGGCCGCATTGGGGGCTGGATCAAGTGCTTGGTAGAATCTGAAGCATGAAGAACCGCTGCGGGTATTAGCTAACACTAACATCGTCTGTATTTCGTGGGCAGTAGCTAACGAAAGTCTCCGAGACAGAGCACCTACCTCCATGACCACTAAGACCTCCGCCCTAGCCTCGTCAAAGATGTCGTACGCGGTCACGTCCGTCGCGAGAATCTTCTCTCGGCATTCTTCCGAGATGTTCACCTGACCCACCACGACCGCCACCACCACCATCAACAACAACGGAAAACAGAGTATGGGTCGAGACACCGGCTTTCCTGAACAAGATGCACACAAAAATTTCTTCGGGCTAACCCTCCTGGTCGATGACGCGCGCAAAAAGGGGGCGGCAGCGGGCGGATGGGGTACGGGCCCCGCGCAATGGCGACACGACCCAACGAGACTGAACAAGGACCACAATTGGCGTGACCTATGGAAATATGAGAAGGGGGCACCCTCCTCCGTGCGTGTTTTTTGGTGGTGCGCGTTTCAACCCTACACCCTCCCCGCAAAAAAGAAAAAAAAAAGGTAAATACCGCCGCCACCCGACCGTGGAACACCACAGGTTGCGTCCGCGGTGAGGCGAAACCTTACATACGATAATGTGTGATGCTCGGTGATGAAAGAGGTTGCACCGCAGTTGGCGTGTTGTTTGGGGTCGGGTGGTTTGAGGTGTTGGCGTTTCGTTTGCCTCAAGGGGCGGCTTCATTTCCACCCCGGTGGAGCAGGATAACCTACATGTCCACGAAAGGCACCTCTTTTTTTAGCAACTCTCCCACTACCGAACACGTGGCCAGGCAAGGACGGGGGGGGTGGGAAAGGCTACTCATGTCACCTGATCAGGAGCGTCCTCTCGAATGTAGCGTTCCACGATACGCATGGTCGCCGCCTATGGCACAACAACAAATAATTCACAACCAACAGAGGGGAGATACGTTGCAGGATCAGCCGAAAAAAAAACAGGTTTTGCATGAAAGCAATTCAATTGTTGTGTCGGCCATAGGGTATGAGAAAACGATCACGGAAATACGGAGTGCCCTCAACGAGAGAATGGGAGAAGCCGCACCTCGAACACTATGTCGAAGCTAGGTGTTCACAAACGAGAGTCTTACGAGGACTAGTGTAGAGAGAGCAACGCAGAGACAACAGGCTACATAGTTTGGTCTTTCCGTGTTTCCTGACGAGCGTCGTGGAGGACGAGAGGGCGATTTCGTCGCGGCGCGGAGAGAGCTACTCCATCACGGCACCGGCAGAGAACGCCGGGCGTGCTGACTCGCGTGCCCACGGCTGAGGTGGCATGTGTCTGTGGATGTGCGCAGAGCGAACTGCGTCGATGAACGCCAAAGCGTGAGAGCGGCAGCGTTTGACTCGGTGGCCGCCCGTTGGGTCGAGGAGCGGAACACGCGGCGGGTATTGTGGGGTACACACACGCTGTGGGGTACAGCGTGCAGCAAATACCTCTTTGCTGGTTGTACACACGTTCATGGGAACACGAAGCCAACGTAGACTGACGTATTTTTGGCCGCGGAGACACTCGCCGTTCCGAGGCTTTTCGCGGTCTATCACACGATGCAGCAGCTTGCATGTGCTTTGGGAAGAATACACACACACAACGTTTATTTTACTTCATTTATGTACACGACTGCATCACGGGGTCCGTGGCTTCCTCATGACGTGCTCTACGGACTAGGCACGAGTGTGCAGCGCAGCATGCCATGTTAAAGGCACATCAGATGTATGTTGCAGTCGTGAAATGTGATGAGGTTCTACAAATAAAACATATTCCAAAGTACATACGTTTTCACAGTCTGTCGTCTACAAGGATATAGACTGCGCTTGTCGTACACACAAATACTGGAGACTTGTCGTGCGAACCGAGGCCCCGAGTCCACGGGATACACTCCATCAGTCACTTTTTGTTCAGTCTGACGGGCGTTTTGCGGGGTGTGCATGTCGCAAACGTTTCACATGGCGGCCAAGTCTGTCGGGCGTCCCGCGTCGCCAATGCCTCCCGGTCGCCAGTGGGCATGCCCGATCGTGGACCCGAACTCCCGTCGAGGGCACGGAAGTCGCCTTGGGCCGGGGGTGACGCCGGAACCGACCGCGACACCATCGCCGGTTTGCGCCCCGAGAGTTGGAGAAGCTCCGGCGCGTGGACCGCGACGAGGTCATCGACCACCTGCAGGGCGTCATCTCGTGGCGCTATACAACAGCTCAAGTTAGAGATCGACGGCAAAACCGCTCGTCAGGGTCCTGATACCGATAGGCCAGCGGCGGGCGCAGCGGGCGCGGGCGCCGGCGCGGGGGTCATGTCGTGGGGACGGTTTCGTCGCCGGCGGGGGGGGGGCGGCGGGGCGGGCCACGGCGCCGGTGAACGCGCGGGCCGCTCACATCCAGCAAGTCGCCTTCATGGTGTAGTTGTGATAATGTCATGAAACTTTGCCCGATGAGGCGCGGCTACCATCATTCCGTCGCGGCCGTGAAGTGAAGGTTCCGAAGTATTCCCAAGCTCTTCGTGGGTAGATTGTTCACCGTCGGGGCGAAACCCAACGGACCTTGCACTACATTCGCTTCGCATTGAGGTGGCTTCCACTCTGGAGGCTGGAGGTTACATTGCGGAGAGTAGTAATCCAGAGAGCAGGGAGGTGGAAGTCTGATGCCCACAAGCCGTACAGTATACAGTAAACAACACGGAAGACTCGCGAATGATCTCGCGTATTCTTGGAGACAAGGTAGTCGGGGGAAGGCACGGTGTGGGGAAGCCATAAGAGGAGGCTGACATCGCTGAACGAGTAGTATCATGGTGACCTCGAAGGTGGCAAAGAAAAATGAAAGTTTGTTGTCGAAGACCGAACAAACTGTAGTTTATTGTGCACGGAAGAATTTGGAACATCTCCCAGATCTACGTGTGTACTTGGGTTCTTGTTGTGCCGCCCTGGAGGCGCGTTGGTTCGGATGTCTTGGTTCGGTTTTCTGGGGTCCCAAAACAGAAAGGTCTCACGGAGTTCTCATTCTGCTGCCTCGCTGCTCCTGCGGCAAGAGTTTGATAGACGCTTGTCCACTGGACCCAAGGACCACGTTGTGAGAAAGACACAATATGTACCATGCAGCCCGCTTTGGAGTCACGCGGCAGAAGGGCAGCAGCTAGCTACATCGAAATTTGGACGATAGCTAGCAATCATGTCGTGGCTTTTCAATAAATGGTAGGGTAACGTCTTGGGAGACTTGGCCATCTAAGACTACTTCGTGGAGAAGGATTACTCCTTACACCGAGGCAAAGAGAACCAGTGGTTGCCGCTCGGAGACGAGAGGTAGATGTAGGTGGACATAAGAAAGGCGCAGAAAGGTGTGTGCTCTGCCAAGTTGGTATCTCCCTCTTTCTTCGGATGTAGAAAAATATTGATGGAGGCAATTCGAACGAAAAAGAAGAGGAGTCGCATCAGCCAATTGTTTGCGGTCACAGGATGCAGCGCGCGTGGATATCCGGTCCCTCCACGACGTAGAACCACGGTAAATATGTCAATAACGCCGAACGCTTCCGGTACCTTGCTAAAATTACGCACAACACGCACCATGAATTTGCGTGTCCATACATCTCGTGTCTGGATCAGCTTCACCTTCGGCGGTCTCGCGAGACAAACAATATACATCGCTGCGTGCACTTCGGTGACACACTTGCCCTAGAACGGTAGTGGCTCCCTCAACACATGTCATCAGACGACCCGGCTGTGTAGCACGGTTCTTTAAAGGATCGCGTTCGCTCTTTCTAGTGCATTTGGACCAACCAAGCGCGAGGCAGCGCAGACTATAAAATCCAACGCCATCGCACAGCAGATGGTATTGACTTATTTAGTACTATAGCACCTGCAACTCTAGCGGCATTGGTGTCTTCTTAGCTGTTGCCGTGGGCTCGACAAAACGGGGGACTAACCATGCGGTTGCCGAGAACGGCGGCACCACATTTGATTTTGACCACCTACCTGTCTCTCGAAGAAACCCATTACCTCTTCCCGGTCTAGCGAGTCCAGGTAAAAGTCTATCAGTTCCTGGGCCACCTTGGTCTTGATGTACTGCCGGAACTCGTCCCGCAGTTGTTCCACGGAAAGCTGTTCCGCCAGGCTGGCCTTCAGCTGAGGGGCGCATGTGAAAAGAAACAAGCGCGAGACAGATCGCCGAAGGAGGGAGGCGGGGGTGGAGAGAAGCACGCGCAACAGTCTTACGTAAGCAATAGAGGAAACAGTGTAGCTGCTGCCGTTGTTGTGGTAGTTGCTGTGGTAATGTAAAAAAACTGTTCCGGTCGGTCCTCCACCTTCCAAAATCCGTGTCGGTCTAAATGGCAAGGGAAAAATGCGTTGATTTGTCGTTCTGTGTAGAGCTTGCAGCGTGGCGGAAACAGGGCCGATTTTTTATATTTAGTAGCGCTTAGCGAGAGAGCGGCGGGTTACCACTTCTCAAATACATCCAAGTTCATCTTGGGAGTGAGTCCATCTCTGGATACGGCGGCAACATTTACGTTTGACGGCCGGTTGTGGCAAATGCCTCCGGCCATTGGTGACAATGTACGTCCTCGGCTTCAGACCCTCGCCCGTCGTCGAAAAAATCATCGAGCGCGGGCAACACCTAACAGTGGGGGCAACCTGCACACCCGGCGAATGTACGCGCTTAAGATGTCACTACTTAAGGTGGGTGAAGCCATCTCCAAATCGTTGTGCAGTAGACGTGGTGGTAGGCAACTACCCGAAACTTGTTTGGCGGGGCTCCACTGCTTTCTTTCTCATCAACTATTGTAGGCACGCACAAAAAAAGATAGACACCGCACGTATTGTTTGAACACCACGACCGTGTTATAATAAAGTAGAAAACTCTACCACTATCCTCGTACACCTTACGCCGTTCGACCATGAGCAACAGCAGCAGCAGCAGCGCGGTAGGAGAGGAAAGCCCCCCCGAGAAAATGCACATCAACCACCATCCCACCAACAACCGCAACCAAGACATTAATCGCTGCAGCAGACATTAATCGTTGCAGCACCTGGGCCGGCGACGGCAGCTCGGAGAACCCCTTGGTGTAGGACCAGAGGTACTCGTCATCTCCCAGAATCTTCTTCATGAACGGTTCGCGAATGGATCCCCACAGCAGGATGTACGTTGTGATGACGGGGTCTGTCCGTAAAAGAAGGCGAGGAGGGGGGCGGATGAGTGGAGAGGGGGGACGCCAACCTTTTCGTCGGTCTTGAGCAACTCGGACTCACCTCGCTACTGCCATGGCTGGCTAGCCGTTTTCGAGGACGAAAAAAAGCAAAAAAAAGCGCCGGATCGGCACACGGAGCGAGACCTGTTATGTAGGCTGTTGCCATGATCCGCTGTCGGATTGGCTGTTACCGCATGACATTTCGCTGTTGGAGTGCCGCACACCACGGACAGCTGAGAAACGAAGCGCAGGGTAAGGCACAGGGGTATGGGGCCGAACGCAACCACCATGGAGAACAGCGGTGTTTGGGGAGGCACAACGGCACGACGCGACAAGTCTTGTCTCTCAGCGTGCGCTACAGCGGTAGGCGGCTCCACGTGGTTGGCGAGAAGCACCGCACGGCAATGATGAACCACGAGAAAAACCACACGCCAGAGAGCCAAAACAAATCTCACATAGAATGGCGACCCTCCTGACGGTCACGTGCTGGCCCGCGAGCAGCACGACAACCACGAGGGCGTAGCTCAGGAGGGCCAAAGTCAAGTAGAGAAGCGTGCGCTTCATCGTCTGGTACTCGTTGAACTGCTTGCGGACGGACTTGAGCCTCCGGATGCAGACGAACCTGGGTCGTTCCCGTCGCGCAGCAGTCAAGCCAGCGCGAAGAGCGCGCCCCGAGCAAAACCGCGCCCGTTGGGTCGTCCGGCGGAGGCACGCGCAAGCAAAACACAAAGGTAGAACATGAATTTAACGAACTACTTCGAGTATTGTGTTTTAGTACTCCCTGTAGGCCAAGCAGGCTAACACTTGTCAGTCGTACCTAAATCGCCGACAACACCACTGCACATGAAACAACGGGAAGGAAGGGCTCCGCCTATCTTTAGGGGGAGAATCTACCGAGGACGCCCCCCGGGAAAAGGCGAAGCTGCTGTCAAGAAAACAGATTTCGTGGAGAAAACAAGCTTTCTTTACGTCAATTCCGATTATCGGACCTTTCACAAAGAATGAAACATGTTCCAACCAAACGCCACCAAAAAAAGCCAACCATGAAAACGTGCTCTACGGCACAAACCAAACACGCGAATTATCCTCCGTCGCATCCCAAGACATCCGACGGGGGCCAGAATATGGGCAACAGGGAGGGTGTTCTCCGCGCGAAAAACGTTAAAAAAAAATATATATATATATTACCGCCTCCAAAAGCCAGCAGTGGCGTAACCCCAACAAAAAAATACAAACATATGGATGTTCTTCACGTGCGCCCACCACAAACACGGAAGAAGCATCGCCCTACCAGCTAGACAAGCACGGGAAAGCACCACGGTCCCCTCACCAAAGGTAGCATATCCCGTACATCCCCAAAGCGTTCATGCCCAGGGTCGGGTACATGCTCGCGCTGTTGGTGGCGCAAGAGTTGGATTCCTCGTCGAAGACTGCCGTGCCAGGGATGAGCCAGGTGGTGACGACGGGTATCAAGCATATGCCCGACAGGAACAGTATTTGATGCCTGAGAGCGAAAGATGGGCAAAAAAAAAGCAACACGGAACCCCCAGATGCAGACGGCGCGGGGGGGGGGGGGGGCGAGGGGGAACCATGCGGTCACCGCGGGACAAAAACATAAGATGCGCGGAAGGTTTCCGTTCCTAATGCCTTGCCACCGGGAAACAAACGCCGTTAAAGGCAACAGAGAAACCGCGTACGTACTTTGTGACTGGTTTCACGACTGGCGATACAATCGAGGTTAGCGCGATTTAGAGCCAGTTTTGTACGTCCTCATGCCCGGAATCGATGAAGGCTGTCCTACCCCGCAGGCACAACCGCGTACGCAACCGCCGCGCAAATACTGGAGATTGTGCAGAAAGAAGCGTGCATCTCACGGAGGCGTAGGAAGGGTGACGTTGTAATGTACCAGCGGGCTAGACAACCCGCGTACGTGGCGACAAACTCGCTGTCAAAGGCAATCGCATCTCGTCGCTGCACCCGAAAAGCGTCAATGCCCCGGGAAACACCCGGGGGGCAACAAAAACACCAACAACACCCCCACCACCCCC